GTGAATTGCAAATTTCGGTTTCGCAGGTTAGTAATACGCCTCGCACGCATGCCTACATCCCGCAATCAGGTTTTCTGTGTAATACAATGTACATGGGGAACTTAAGAATATATAATATGGAATAGCAACCCCACATCAAGGAATTCTGTTGTTGCAAAACCATTAGATTGTGTTTCGGTTGTCGTGTCGGATAAACCAGTCTGATGTTTCAACTATCCATGCACACATCCACATTGAACCATTCGTCATTTGGAGACAGACAATACGCAGAATGCACGTCAATTCATACCATAGTCCCACACGAAGGGAAGTGTTTTTGACGTAATGCAAGAACACCATTACAATGTCATTGAATTTAAAATGTTCTTATAAGCAGGGCTGGTTCCGTTTTATACACGACTGCCGTCTCTTGTACTTCTGAGTTTTCGTTTATTGTGAGAGCAGTCTTCATATTCAGTATTGATTACTTGGGAAGAGATATCAAGCATCACTCAACGCGTGAGTGAGATCACCCAGCGTTTCAGAACCCCCCCGAAAAACTCTCGGCCTGTGATGAGCGGAGGCTCTTGGCGCTCCAGGCGAACCAGAAGCCTTACGCGGGAAACGCTGAAAGAAGATTGGCGCCAAATTTCTCTAGCGGACAAGATGATTTTTTTCTCTCTCTCTCATTCTGCTCTCTCTTCCATCTCTGTGCGCATCGGTTTTTGCAGAAGAGGGCACATTATAGCTGAGGTTGCCCCGGGCAACGAGCATGAAGAGGCCGGTAACTCGAGCAAAATAAACAGTGTCTTCAGAGCGAAGAATCAAGAGGGTGATCATTTGATCGAATTGCTCCTTGACTGGAATGCACTGACGAGCACAATGCGTGTCACGGATTCTTTTCCTTGCTGAACGTGCAACGATTTATCCCGCATCTTTTTCTAAAGCTTTTGCTTTTGTTTTTCTAAATTTGTAGACATTGGACAAAGTGTTCCGAGCGGATTTCTATGAATTTGGTCGTACCAATCACGCTGTTTAAGGAGAGTAGGGCAAACAGCAATGAATGACTTGCTATTTACACTCTTTGTGGTCACAGAGGGCGCCATACAAGATCGATAGGATGTTGTACCGGATGTAGGTTCAGGGCCTGTTTGTTTCACGCGGTGATCTGACGCTGGTTCACTGACACCAGAACTCGCCTGATTGATGGAGCGAACCAGCGTTAGGATCACTGATGGTGATCTAGATCCAGGATTTCAGTATGCTCCTCAACGTCGCACAGTTCGTGTCGCATCGTAGCATTATTCTTTGCCTGTTTTCCGTGCTCGTCTCAATATGGCATAGTCTCTAGCTGTTTTCACAAATTGTTTTCTGTGCTGTTCAGTCATTACTTATGCAAGACAATCATTTCTTGAACTCCAAATTTTGGGCTTCTATTCTGTTAGTTAATCTATGAGGCACTTGGCTTCACCATCACTGACCGATAGCTGATAATAAATAAATAATTTCCCATAGTTAGCGAAAAAAAAGGAATTTCATTCTTAATTCTCCGCACCCATCAGCAATGAAACTGATGTGCGAAGGGTCTTCGAAACTGAGGAGAAAAATACATGTCACGGCTGTATTGTTCACATACACTTAATTTATAAACAGGACAGACGGCTAAGCTGACAGCTAAGGACCAGTCAGCAGCTTTGACCACATCTCTGCTTTTGTCACACTAAAGTTGGCAGGCATGGTTACAAGGAATGTGCATTTTTTTGTGGAGTGCACGGACTCTGATCCGTTGAATAAGTTATTTTGTCTGGTTCCTTTTCAGCCTATGTAGTTGTTCTTAAATATGATAGGCCACAATATACTTCCTCAAATTAAATGAAGGTTCCCCACAACTTTCTCTCGATGCCACTGAAATTACCAAACGCACGTTGGCCGATCGGCGGCCCGGCTTTTATGGGAATACTCTGTGTGGTTGATGTAGTATGGAAGGACGCCCTCAACTGCTAATCCTCCTCAAGGTTCCCCCTTCCTTTTCCTTGTGGTGACCACGTTACAGTAGCACTAAGAAAACGACTGCTTTGTTCGTTTACACACATAATTGTACAACACAATTTTAGTTCATTCCAAATATTTTCTTTGGGAAATACATACCTGTCGAGCAGTAAGAAACTTACTGTTATTCAGACAACACAGCACTAATAAGATACACCGTCTCTTGTCGTCAATTATGGCCAGAAAATAGAATACTTGTGTGACTACGTCACAATCACATGAAAGACCTTAGCGCGAGATCCAGCGCTCGAACCAACACGCATACTTCATTCGTTTGGGCTACTCTTTGGTATTCTATGGCAAGCAAAGGCTCCATACCGTCAGAAACTTGTGAATCACATGAGGGCGCTTTTCAGAATCACAGGCAGCCGAAAGGATAACGAGACACGTCTACTGAGGCAAGAGTTTCTTTTTGTACATTGACTTGGAGACTTAGGCTTTGAAATCATCTTTCCTCACTTGACAAATAGCGGAGGCTTCAGTTAAATCGGTCTTGAGGGGGTTTTAAAAGTGTTTATCCACATTCATAGAATGAAATGTACTTCGAAGTGGATTTAAGAGGATTAAGTGGATGGAAAAGATTATCTGCTAAAATTTCTTCAAACATTTCTGTATTGCTTAGAACTTCAGAGATATGTAATACAAAACTACTGCAAACTGCTTGCTGACTACAGTGACCTAAACACTACTCACAAAATATGGAGGGCCTGACGTTTGCTCAGAACTTCGTAATTTAATGTTATAACTTACAGTAGACAGCCTAATAACACTATCGTGTATTTCTAAGGATGGATTTACGTAGATGAGGTGTTAATCTAATTACACGTCGGCCAGGGCAAAAAAAAAACAAAATTAAACAATATAACGGTGGCAATTTCTATGTTATCAGAATTTTGGGGTTGAGACGGAGTGCCATTAAGTAAACTCCACAGGGCAAGTAAAGATTAAATGTTAATTCATAATTACACTCACATGATGGAGATGACAAAAAGAGATGGTCTACGATTGGGATGATACAAATCGCCATAATTGTTCGTGAATTTGCTTTGCTTCCTTTATTGACCTAACACCGATATATGAAAGGTAGAATCATGCGCACTGCATTCAGTATTTATTTTGTGAGGTATGGAGTTTGTCAAGCAGAGAGGGAAACATTCGGACAATGAATTATCCCGAGACAACGTCTTGTCATCTTCTGTCCAGCTCAAAACTCTCTATCCCCTCGACTCGGCAGTATTAGAAACGTACAACCTACTGATGTTTTAGCATTAACTGTATGTTTGGTCGGGTTGATCGTCCGCCGACGCAGCTGGTCTGGGAGGAATATATAGTGCCCTCTTGTGATATTTCATAATGATGTGCCCAGGTCAATTTCATAGCGCTGCTTAAGCGAAGAATTTGTTTTAAGCGTGAAAAACATTTGCAACGTTATTGACAAATCAGGTTATCAGCCAAAACGTCTTGTGATGTATATTGTTTTGAAATGGTATTTACCTGTCTTTGGTTAGTATGACAATCACATAGAGTTTGTGCTGGTAATTTTTATTCATTAAGCAAGGTTTTTACGTGTATAAGCAAATTCTGTTAAGCAGCTCTATGAAATTGGCCCCACGTGGTCATAGTGGCGCATGCATTAAAGCAGGGCTGACCAGTTTATAATGCTTTGCACAAAGTTTATCAAAATAGCAATGGCGGTTCGTTGGCGTTGTATTTATCAGTGGGCCGGTTAGGTCGGATCTGAACCGCGGCCTTCTACGTTACCACTTCAAGGTGCTTGTAGGGTGGATTGCCTGTGTATTTAAGGCTGTGAACTGCACAGACATATAAACGCATAGACCACCACATCCTATTCAAAACTACAGGAATATTCTGTGATCTGCGCGGCGCCCAATTAAAATCAAACTGTGGGCAAATTCACCCCTAGGTATAGCGGTCAAATTCCATGAGGCTGTTTTTCGATTCTGAAAAGGCCTCAATTTTGCCTATGTAGATTCAAACCGCTGCGTTTGCAACATTTGAAAAGAAGGGGCAGCATTGTCGAAGAGCAAAAAAGGTGAACGTATTTTGGGAGTATGTAAACAAATACAGGCAATGAGTTCACCCACAGACAACGCACAGACCGCCAGTCTTGCGCGTAAAATCGTGATTTTGAAAAGTATGGCCAAACAAGGAGCGAAGCGATGGATGGCAGCGCGTCCAGTGCGCATTACGCGCAACGCACTTACATCGCCTGTATTTGTTTACATGTGCTCCCAAAATACGTTCACTTTTTTGCTCTTTGGTACTGCTATCTCTTCTTTTCAAATGTTGCAACCGCATAGTTTCGAATCCCTAGGGCCCAGATAAGGTGAATAGAGGATTTTTTTTTACAATCGCAAAAAATGGCTCCCGGGAATTTTATGGCTGGAATTCTTCAACTGTGCGTAAATTCCCTATGCTGAGGGGTGAATTTGTCAATAGTTTTGATTTTAGTCGGGTGCCGCGGAGATCACGAAAAACCCTTGTAGTTTTGAATAAGTTCTGGCTGTATATGCGTTTGTGGGTGATCTGACGCGCTGCCCATCATGAACAGCGCCCTCTGTCATTTAAAAATCTTCAAAAATTTGTAACAGCTGCATTTTCGGGATAGAACTATTCATGCAAATACACGTTCGTGTAATAGCTTTGAGAGGCTTTGGGAAGCGACCGATCGTAGAACACCAGCCGGCCAAGGGGGCCAGCACGGTGTCCGAGAACTTAAGACCCTCGCTGGGAATAGTGGTTTTCAAAATTTTATGAAGTTTGTACCAATATGTATGTTTTAACTGGGGGGGGTACGGCTTGCCGACTATATACCACCAACCAACCCAGAGGCTGACCGTACTGTGCAAACGCACACCAGTACAAAATACTGGTAGTCTATAGACCCAAGACGAACTTGTTCCAAAACCAAACTCTTATTACGTTTAATTGTTTATTAGGGCAAGCTCGAGTTAATCCGTGACTCAGACTATTCAGTCTTGAATTAAGTCAGGTTTGCCTTTTCAGTTGACAAAAGGACAATGAACAGTCTTTGCTTTAATTTTTTTTTCAAATGAGTACATTCTGTCACATCACACGGCTTGTAATATGTACAATTGAATCTTTATTCGGTTTTAACAGAAGAAAGGAATGATCAAAAACTGATCAATCTAAATCTACCCTCAACCAAGGTAATAATGATGTCTATTTTAATACAAGGCTGGCGCATAAAATCTCAACTACGACCATAAATATGTACAAGTACGCAGGTGACATACATTTGAGACGAGTAAACTGATTCCCTTGTAAATTACACAGGGGGCGCCATTCAGAGCTACTGCGTTGGACATGTACACCATTTTACCGAAATGAGAATATGTGTACAGCCTCCGAGAAATTTCAAACCACTTTGTGTTTGTGTGATGTTTGGAAAGCCTTGATTCTGATGTTATTGCACTTTTTGCGAAGTGTAAGCCTTGATGAATTATGGAATGATTGAGTTTTTTCTGCTCAGGATCTCCCCAGTAGCGATAAGCATGCATGGACTTCTTTGCTGTTTACTTTCGAATTGAACTCAAACTACTGAACACCTTTATTAACATAGGAAATTGCACTTTCGTGACTTTGATGCCACAGATCTGAGAATTACAGGTCACGTCTGGTCTAATCACGGCCTGACAACAAAAAATATATATATAATTGCACGGGAGGGCATGAATAATTGGATACTGCACACCTCTTGCAGAAAAATCATCATTTCAAAAATTGTCGTTTTATGTGGTTTGTCACGGTTTTATACGAAAAAGCCACATGACATTAGAGCTGAATCTGATTACTTCATTATGGCCAACCCAACTTCCTGCCTTCGAGTTAAACAAAAAGGTTGGAACTAAAACTGCGCGAGAACGTTATTTTGCATTTCCTCAGCTGCAATTCCAACTGTGATCATCTGGAATAACCAGTTTACACTCAGCCAATAGAAATGGCTCAGCTAGTCAGCGTTATACATATTCGTTTGTGAACGACAGTTCTCTTAGTCAAACTCTCACGATATTCCTGATGTTCTACCTTCTCCCCTCGAAGTATTTTGTTGATTATTGACTTTAAAAATGCTTTAAACATTGTCCCTGTTTTTGGCAGAAGATTCCCTGTGCACCAGGTCAGCGTGCTCCTTGGCCTTGAGGCGCAGCGCCGCCACACTGGAGCTACTGACGCTGTCATCGCTGCAGGAGCTAAAGGTGCCCGGCAGGTCACCGTTGGCGGCGCCCCCCAGCACGTCGTCCTTGGTGTCTTTGGCCGTCACGGAGGCCACGTGGCAGCCGCAGGCCGACAGAGGGAGCCCTGTGTGGAGGTGCGGGATGCCTGCCCCCTCGCGGAGGGCGGCAACCGCGAGCATGCTGTAAAGATGAATGACAGGGTGAGTCGATTGTTAGTCTCAGATTTCTTTCATTATGACCTCGTCCAATAATTTGGATTTCTGAATTATGGCCAATTCCAAGCCGGATATTCTCTGGCTACAATTTCGAATTTTTTTTCTGTAAGCCCACTGTAGAGGTTTTCTGGAGCCACTGAAAACAGTGTCTATTTACCTTCGGGCTACATGTCATTCATGATGACCATTGTTGATTCTTGTAATGTAGTCCACAGTGTGATACCGTTTGGCTAACAGGGGGCAGCAGACTTGAGGGCGTTTAAGGTTGTTCATTTGGGTATGACCTAGTTAGAATTCAGGCAGCACAGTTGTACACACTGGGAGCAATAGGGGGACCGTTCGAGGTTGCTAACCCCCCCCCCACAATTGTTTTCCGCTCCCCAGAGATGTTGTTGTGATTTTTGGAGATGTGTAAATGTGTAGTATCCTGACCGCGACATTTGTGAAGCAGTCCCTATCCAAGGCGTATACAAACTTATATCACTATCAATATCACAAGCGATTGATTACGGGAGTAGGACTGCGTTTATCAACCTATTTTAGCTCTTTTGATTTGGAAGAAGGGCAAGGGTCTATGCATATTACTCTGAAGTATAAAAGTTGGTTATGGTAGTTACAAGTGTGCTTACTCAATGCTTGCATGTTCAAGTGTTACAACTTTTCGAATTAGGATTGGAAGGATACTTCATTAGATCCAAAACCACTCACCTTTCTCGCAGTGAGTTATGCGCTGCTCTTGCCATGGTCTCGTTGTACAGAAACCCGGCTGAGGTCGACGTAAGTGCTGGCGGCCGGACCGCCCCGGCCGCCGCGGCCGCTGCAGCCAGCCACGGGTTGCCAGTGAAGCCGACGTTACCAGCGGCTCCAGTGTAGGTGCCGGCAATCTGGCGGGTGCGCCACGGGTCGATACCGAGCCTCTGACGGGCCATCTTGCGCCACTTGGCCCGGCGGTTTTGGAACCACACCTGAAATGATGCCAGTGTTCGAAAGAAATTAAAAATCTTTGAGAAACTTGCTATGTCAGATGACAAGACAGTCGTGGACAGAAGTTTTTCACTACAGTTTTTCACACGGCTTGGTTTTCTGGAGTTTTTCTTATAAACTCACAGATATTAAACTCACATCTTTTTCCCTTCTGTTATCTTAGTCGACTGTTATCTTAACATGACAGTTTACTTTTTGGATGCTTGCCACTTGTTACATACCGGGATTTTTGTTTTGTTTCGTATTTCTTTTTATGAACGTGCTTTTACCGACAAAGACCATATTAATCACTAAGAGATTGGAGAAACTGGTATCATTCTTGGTGTATTAATTAGAAAAAGTGAACATATTTAAACAACAGTTTTCGTTAGGAAGAACGTATAGAGCGCTAGTTTTGTGAACGGAGGCATCTTCTCTGTGTAAATATTTCTGTTTGTTACCTGCACCCTGGCCTCTGTGAGGTTGATGCGCATTGCGAGATCTTCGCGGACAAATACATCGGGGTAATGCGTCTTGGAGAAAAGCGTCTCCAGTTCGCTGAGCTGCTGCGGTGTGAAAGTAGTTCGGTTTCGCCGCTGCAGGGAGAAAACGCACAAGAAAAGGAAGAAGTTGAAGAGATGTGAGTCATGTCTGTCTAATTGTGTCGAAAGCCCGTTTTATATTGTGTCCGTGCCCTGAGCGATGTAAGATCGAGTTTCGATACGACTTGCTGTCTTTAGTCTCGTCATCTGCGTCTCCGTTGGCTGGTCACGGACTCGCAATGGTCTGGTATAGAATGAAGCTACCGGCGGCCGTCTTACCGTGTCGAGTACAAAGGTGATCGCTGGCTGTTGTGCCTTTATAACTGCTGTTGCTACCAACGACTTGGTTAACAATGGCAAGCAAGCCTTTGTATTACCTTTGTGTTCGGCACAGTAAGATGGCCGCCGGTGGCTTCAATAACCCATGTTGGCTGAATAAGGGCATAGCGAGTCCAGACTTTTTACGTGTCCTCCGTGAGCCCGGTATATGACTTGCTTTTGTCGCAATGACTGTATGTCCACGTTTGAGATAGGAGATTATACCAAGGTTCAGTATGAGACATAAAAATCAGTTTAAGTCATAATCAGCTGTCAAATTTCGTCACAAGTCACAGATCATTTCATTCCGTGCACAAATCAGTTCTGTCATATGTCATTCGACTACATGTTTGTCGACTTGTAGTCACAAGTATCAAGTCACGTAACGAGTCCCAACATTATAATGCTGATGGTTTTGTCGAGTCCATATCACAAGTCAGAAGTAACTTTTGTAAAGTAGGCATCCACGTCATGTCGGTCAAGTCCAAAGTGACGTCGCTGGTCTTCCAATTCCGAATCAGGTACAGAATCGCCAAGACAAAGGTCTTTGGTTTGGTGCTCCTCAAAGCAACCGCCGGTGCTAGTCGATTCCGAATAGCGAGTCACAGCAGGTTCTGTTTGTGACAGTTGTATTCAGGCGACTCTGCGCAAGAGTCCTTGAACACGACCAGTTCAAGTGGATAATTATTATTGCAACCAACAAAGAAGGGCGTGATGCTTACTGCATGTACCTGGCGACGCCGGTTGTACATCAACTCATCCATCAGTAGTTCCTCACCTAACGACGAGGTGATGTTAGAGGGCGTGATCATGCCGTGGGCGTTGCTCCCCGACACTGTAACGATAAAACCAGACGAGAGCAACATTTTGTTTTTCCGCTCTTAAAAGCATATTAAGGCCTTCCCACCGATCATAACATTTCTCCCCTTCAAGCTTGCACACAACAGTTTTCTTAAAAACAAAACTCGTTAATGAAACGACGGTGGTAACTAGTGGAATGGCACGTTCTCGGCGCTTGCTATAGATGAAACATAACAAAACGCCTCGTGTGACATGTCTGCGGCTGGTATGGCACAAGCGTCAACGGCAAATGTTTGAAGCCGTAAGCAAGTGGCTTACGTAGAGTTGTGTGTTCTTTGCAGTCGTAGCCAGGTTATTCGTACATGACCGGAGACACAAATGCCAAAAAACTACACCGAGTGCTAGAGACGCAACGATATTTTAACGATAAGTATAGCTGAAACAGGACAAACTTAGACGACCGCTTAAGTTCATGATTCCAAGCATATTATGCAACGTCTACGTGCTGTACTCTGAGAAGTTGAGGGAATTTTTAACTGTCTGTGACTGTTAATACTAGACTCGAGGTACTAGAGTTAATTTTTAGAGATTTTTACATTCTTTGACGGTGAGAAGCAACAAACCCCCATCCTTGAGATAACTAAGACAACAAAACAGAGAGAGCAAAGCAATCACCCAAATAATGGGAGGATTAACTACAGTGAAAAAAGCCACATACGGTACCAATGTGACAAAAGAAAAAATTATGGAATGATGAAGAGCTCTTTAAAATTAAAAGCGAAAATCGAGCCAAAGCTTTTATGCTGAAACATAACTACAGAAAATCGGCTCTATTATAATACACACACATGGCTATATGTTATCACGTCGGTCCAGTACCGAAGGGAAGACAAAATCCACCCTCCTGGTGTTTCTAACGTCGTGATTGTGCAATTTCTGATAATTTCCAAGGTTGTGAGTAAACATTGAAAGTGAACATTGAAGGCGCTTTACTGCCGGTTGTAAAATATGTCTTTGACATCTAGGTCTGTGTCAATTCTGAAAGGGCACGTCGTCGTCCTTTGCATTCCCAAAACAGTAATCTAAAGCCTGCAATGGCAAAGAACTGTATTTGACTGCTTCAGCGGTTGTAATCTTCGTCAGATTTGCAGTGGCATTGCAAAGATATCAAATGGAGAATTTATCACTACTTTAAGCTCCGTGGATACGTCAACGGGGCCTATAACCAAACGCATCTGGAAAATTGGAATACGTTAGCAAATCACTTTGATTACTTACACATATTTCCTCCAGTGGTATTTAATTATCAAGAAAGCTAGTGTCAATGTCGTTATTTTAATCAGTCGGCGGGGGTCTAGGGTTTCCTTGTTTGTTATTTAATAGCTTCACCATCACCGGTGAAGCTAATGATAGGGCTCCATGCTTGCCCGGTCCGGTCCGATCCTGAGTCGAAATTTACGGCCGTAAAAAACTCATCCCGGAACTTGATTAATCTTGGGCAGGAGGAGGGTTTTGGTATCTCTGCGAGGGATACATCTAATCATCGGTATAAACGGACGTCGCACGCCATAATTTATCTTCCTCGACTATACCGCTTCCTTTTTGATATCTCTGGCTAATTTTTGATTACCTTAATAATTCATCTTGATGGTAGAGACGCAGGCGGCGTGTCGCCTTTCTCCCCATTGCAGATGTGTATTCAGTAGCCCGAAGTGAATCATTATTCTCGTGTTTAAAAGTTGTTATTTCGATGCAGCATACGTCATCGTTTCAAACTTCAAAGTTTTGTTTGTATGTTGCTACCCGGTACTCAAGGAAGAGGCAGTATTTGCTGTTGCAAATAAATCCTTCACGTCTGTTCTTCTTGTCGTATATAATAACGCATTCATTTTAACCGTTTCCCCATTTTTTAAAGTAAAAAAAGAAAAAGAATTACTAATAAGGATTTTTCAGTGTATTTTGTAAGCAAGGTGACTGTTTCGGACGTTTATAGTGACAGGATTTTAAAAAGATTACGATTTTCTGCAGTCCATGATTGAGTCAACTCATGAAATCAGCATTACCAACAGAGGTGGTAATAATCCATGCACAATTGAAATTAATACTGGTACATCGAATTTTCGAATCTTACACGTTGCAATTTTAAAGCATGACTTGGTGAAGAATCACTGTTTTTCTCCGTCATGTGGGTTATTCAATATCACTGTTCGGGAATTTAAAAAAAGAGTGGAGAAGTGTAGAAATGTACGCTCTTAAGCTCATAGTTTGGCGTTACCTTGTCTCCTATGTTCATTTAAGTTAGAGATATACAACCACAGCTCGGGTGCAGGCTCTACAACATACAGACCTTTATACACGTCTGACTTATGCGCGGAAATTTTAAACAAAGCTCTGTGTACTGTTACGTCTTGAGAGGCAACACACGCCGTGGTGTGACTTCGGTTTGCGCGAAATAACTTTTGACAATGCACGCCAAAGTTAACAAATTCGCCTGTCCCACCGGGCCAGTGCAGAGCGACTACGTCGAAACAGATGACAACGAATAATCATCAACGGAAGCATTTATCATTAGTTTCAATCTCCCTAATACAAGGAGAGGGCTTCATACACTCTAAAGTCCCCAGAGACGTGGCAGGAGAAAAAATACTAAAAGGTCGAGTTCTGAAAAATATCATTTCCCAGGACAGCCGCACTAGCTTTGCAGTTTCCCCTCCCTAATCTGTCACCGAAGTCATAACAACCTATCTTTCAGCCAGTTCGTTACATGGACCGGGATCTTATCGGCTCTGCGTGCGGCGTTTTACGCTGGGACGTTGAAAAAAAAAGTGGGCCGAAAATATGTTTAGGGAGTAATTAAGGCGGTTAATCTCCACAGCGAGTTCGTGATAACTCAGCGTGCGACCAGAAGAGATCGCTGCCCGGGACAAAACCATGGCGCTGGAGCTGAACGGGTCTGATAATGTTTGAAGTAAAGTTCGCTCTGGGCGAAAAAAAGAGTGACAGGCTATAGAGGGCGGGGCTAAATCGGGTTTCGCTTGACAGAGGAGGGAGTGGGGATCAAGGCCCTCTACCTTTATTGCCGACTACTGAAGTTGTTTCAGCTCTCGATGTTTTCCGGCATTGCCTGTTTTGCTGTTGTGTGTTGGAATACATTATACAACAGTGGAATGGTGGCGTCACTTTTTGACCATCTGAGGTCGCTTTCTTTAAAATGTTATAGGCCTACCCATCTATTGTTGTGATCGAGGCTTTACGATAGCAAAGAAAGTTATGATAGTTGAATCTATTTTGGATGATCTTATAACCATTTGAATACCACTGTAAAAACCGTTGTGTCGTTTTTCTTCCGTGGTGAGTTTCACATTTGAATAACCATTCTACCAATACAAATGAACACCACATTATGTTAACATCATGTCACGTGCAACAGTGGTTGTAACTCGGTGTTAAATTTGCACCACTATATTACGCTGTAAAAACGGGTGTTAATATTTAACGCCTTCTTGGTAACGGTTCGTGAACGTGTTGCGGGGTTAATAATCCAAAGCTAAACACGTTGTTTTGTTTGTTTGTTTGTTAAACAAAGCCGTACTGATGCATCACACATTTTAATGTTAAAAGGAAGACACAAAAACACGTTCCATCGGCGGTAGCAGTTTCTAAACACCGAGACCCGTTTTTTTCCCAAAATGGTGTTTAATTTTAAAAGGTTACATATTTACAATTAAAAGTGTTCAAGATGCTGTACGCATTATTATTGTTTTTTAATCACATTCAAAACTTTTCAGGACTAGTTTTCCCTTTCCTTTTTTATTTTGTTTTATTTATATATTTAGTTTTTGTGGTTTACTTTTTTTTTTGAAGTTTCGTTGCAAGGTAACAATGGTCATTCACTTTTACAACTACACATCTGAAATAAATCCGTCGTCAGCAGACTCAAATCAAACGATGATTATAGAATCCCCAGAGGGTCGAAAAATTGAAAAGGAGCAGAGACATCCCAGAGCTGTTAATTGAAATCCGCTGAACAAAGAAACGCATATAAACGATATAACCCGATTCGAATGTGTGAGATGTGCGTGCGGAGGGGTACGTGTGTGCTGGAAACCTGCTGCGATCTATCACATGTTTGACGCCCAATTTCCTAGATTATTTGCCTTAATTTCCCACCCTTCTTTTACGATTAAACAATCCCGAGCAGACCCAAACAGCCTTCATCACCTCGGTTGGACCCGCGTGGATCGAGAGGAGAAACAGGAAGGGGGAAAAAGAAAGAAAATACCAACCGAAAAACCAATTACTATCTCTCGCGATTTTATTCGCACCTTATTTGTATTTATTAATAACAGAAGCAGACGAATTATTTCCTTTAATCAAGTCCCGATTCCGGGCATAGTCAACGACAGCTGCGTCGCTCATCGTCGAACCGTCTGCTGTCAATGATTGAAAAGGCCCTCGTGAATGTTAAAGGAAAAGTCTGTGCTCTGATAAAAAAAAAACCGCGGCTTATCCAGGTTATGCGAATCCAGATTTATAAATGCTGACTATCTGCGTACGAATTTCCGCAATCTCCGGGTCATTACTGCGCTGTTTTGGCAGGAATGCTGCACTGAGAAACATTTTTGATCTAAAACTTCGGTTCAGGTTTTTTTTTCTTCGTATTTTTCTCCTATTTCAAGATAAGTTGAAGTGACAGATTGTTTTTGAAAATTTACTCAAAAAATACACTGGCCTATACTGCTCCATTGTCGTACGTGTATATTAGGCCAGTCACTTCGCGAATGATACGACACGAAGCTATCTTGCACTTCTCGAAGGACCATTGCTACTGAACACAGCTGATATTTATTCGATGCTCGTCAAAATATCCACTATTGACATTTTGAAGCATTTGTTTTTCTTGTTTATCCGGATTAACAATCATGCCGTTGAGGATTATCATATCTGTGCTGTTGCTAAATCATGATTGCAACATTTTTGTCCTTTTTTTTTAGCAGGTACCAATTTATGGGGTTTTTGGGGGTGGTGAGAAAT